CTGGGAATTCAAATCAGAAAACACAATTCTCCCCACTAGATCCTTAGGTATATGATTTTGACCCTTGTTATATTGACAGGGGGGAATCAATAAATGCATTTAGCCATTTGGAATATTAGAGGATTCAACAAATCCTCTAAGCATTTAATTGTAAAGCAATTCATATATCAGTACAATATTCCCTTTATAGCTCTTTTAGAAACAAAACTAAAGGAAGGAAAGATGAAGCATATTGCTAGGAAATTTGCTAGAGATTAGAATTGGATTTCAAATGTTCAGGAAGCTGGTAATGTGAGAATCTGGATACTCTGGAACAATGATTTAATGACAGTTCAAAGTATAAGCTCAACTAATCAATGCTTGACTTGCTTTGTTCAATTGAAAAATGGAAAAGTATCATGCCTAATGTCTGTGATTTATGCCTCAAATCAAAGGGAGAATAGAAAAAAATTATGGCAGGATCTTCTGGAAATTAAACAAAATGTTAACTGTCCTTGGTTGGTTGGTGGAGATTTTAATGCAATCATTAGTGCTGAAGAAAAAATAGGAGGAGCTCCTATTTCAGATGCTGACACAGAAGACTTCCAAAACTTTATATCATCAAGCCAACTACTTCATATCAACTCCTATTTCAGATGCTGACACAGAAGACTTCCAAAACTTTATATCATCAAGCCAACTACTTCATATCAAATCTATTGGATGTTTCTACACTTGGAAACTTCCAAAACTTTATATCATCAAGCCAACTACTTCATATCAAATCTATTGGATGTTTCTACACTTGGATTAATAAGCAAAATGCTAATACTAGAGTTTGGAGCAGAATAGACAGAATTCTGATTAATGATAGATGGTTGCATCATTATACATCAAGCCAGGTGGAATTTCTAGTGCCAATGTGCTCAGATCATTCTCCAGCTCTTGTTTCTGTTGGGGAGGAGGATTTTCAAGGAAAAAAACCTTTTAAATTCTATAAAATATGGACAAAACATCCTGACTTCTTAGCACTTGTGAATTCTGTCTGGGGACAAGAGATAAAAGGGTACAACACGTACAAGTTTTATTCTAAACTTAAGAAGCTAAAACCTGTCCTCAAGGAGTTAAATAAGAAGCACTTCATGAACATAGGGGAGCAAGTTGCAAGAGCTAAAGAGGAATTGCTGGGAGTTCAAAATCAGATGAGTTTGGATCTTCTAAACCAGGATCTAATTACTCAGGAGGAAAAATGTATTCAAAAATACAACAGGCTGCTACAATGCGAAGAATCATTCCATAGACAAAAGGCAAATATTAGTTGGGTTGTGCATGGGGATAGGAGCTCACAATATTGAAGAATCATTCCATAGACAAAAGGCAAATATTAGTTGGGTTGTGCATGGGGATAGGAGCTCACAATATTTCCATTCAATCATGAAAGCTAAAAGAAAATATTAGTTGGGTTGTGCATGGGGATAGGAGCTCACAATATTTCCATTCAATCATGAAAGCTAAAAGACATCAAAATAGAGTGTTAACACTCTACTCAGAGAATGGAAGGAGGCTTACAGATTTGCCTGAAATTGCTACTGAACTTATTGAATATTACAGAAATATGCTTGGAAAAAAAGTGAATACTCTTGAACCAGACCCTGCAGTCATCTCTGATGGTCCCATTCTTATGGATAAACATAGAAATGAACTGGAGTCTCCAATTACCAATGAAGAGATCAAACATGCTGTTTTTACAATCTCTGATGAAAAGGCCCCTGGACCTGATGGCTATAGTGCATCATTCTTCAAAAGCACCTGGAATATTATTAGTACAGACATGATCAAGGTTGTTCAGGAGTTTTTTAGTTCTGGTAAGCTGCTTGGCTCTCTCAATACAACTACCATCACCTTAATTCCTAAAGTTCTGAATCCAAGCTCACCATCTGAGTTTAGACCAATTTCCTGCTGTAATTGTGTCTACAAAGTGATCTCGAAAATAATAACTGCTAGAATCCAGAAAGTTATTGGGTATTTAGTAAATGATGCACAGTGTGCCTTTGTCAAAGGAAGGATGATCTCAAATAACATTCTACTTGCTCATGAATTGGTTAAGCATTATGGTAGAAAACATATATCCCCGAGAGCTACTCTCAACATAGATTTGAGAAAAGCATTTGATACAATAAGCTTGGATTTTATTAAAGCTATGTTGACAGGATTGGGATTTCCAGGAAAAATGATTGGATGGATTATGACCTGTATAACTACTACAAAATTTTTACTATCCCTTAATGGATCTCTGCATGGATACTTTAAGGGGGCAAGGGGGCTGAGGCAGGGGGATCCTCTATCACCATATCTATTTGTTATTGGGATGGAGTATTTGTCCAGGAGGATGAAGAAGCTTAGAACTGATAGCCTGTTCAAATACCATCCTAGATGCTCTGGCTTGGGGATAACTCACTTAATATTTGCGGATGATTTGCTATTGTTCAGTAAAGCTGATATCCAGTCTATTAGTAAACTGAATAGTTGTCTTCAAGACTTCAGTAGAGTTTCTGGATTGGAAACAAATTCTAACAAGTGTGCTGTTTATCTGGGAGGTGTTGAGGATAATGTCAGGAATCAAATATGTTCTCTCCTGAACTTTTCTGAAGGTTCTCTACCAATTAGATATTTGGGGATGCCTCTGATTTCTAAAAGACTCTCACATCTTGATTGCTCAAATCTGATTAGCAAAATTTCAGAACAAATTCAAGGATGGCAAGGTAGGAGGAAAATGTCATATGCTGGAAGAATTCAGTTAATAAAAACTGTTATTATGGGGATTCAAAATTACTGGACAAGTAGTTACATACTACCCATAAGAGTTTTGCAGAAAATAGACAAGCTATGCTCTGATTTCTTATGGAACTGCAAGATGCATCTAGTGTCTTGGAGGGATGTATGCATAGATAGGAAAATGGGTGGTCTGGGATTATACAGTGCAAAAACATGGAATTATGCAGCTGTAATGAAACTGTTATGGATGATTCATACAAAAAAGGATATATTGTGGATTAAATGGGTGCATGAAAACTACATACACCAAATGGATATATGGCAAGTTCAAGCAAGAAGAACTGATTCTTGGATGTGGAGACAATTACTCAAGGTAAGAGACTTGGCTCTCAATAAATTTGGAGATAGAAACAATTTGCAGAGAGTTATGAAAGAATGCCATGATAATGGGAAAATCCAAATATCTGAGATATATAAAGCCCTGACTCACTCGACAACTCCTATTGATACAATGTCAGTACCCTAAACACTCAGTAATCCTATGGCTAGCCAACCACTCAAGACTGCTAACTAAGGAGAGACTATGCAAGATGGGGATGCTAACTGAAAGCATGTGCACCCTGTGTGCAACTCAACAAGAAACATGTAAACATTTATTTTTTGAATGCCAATATTCAGCAACTATCTGGAATGGAATCATGGAACGGTTATGCTACTCGAGGAGATCATGCAACTGGACTCAGGTGGTGAACTGGTATAGTGCAGAACTGAAAGGGAAGGGATACAAGAAGAAAGTGAAGAGAATGGCTCTTTCGGCAACTGTCTATTGGATTTGGAAGGAAAGAAGTTTGAGGATTTTTCAAGAGAAGCAGCACAATCCAGTCCAACTGATTAGGGAGGTGAAAATCTCAATCTTAACTAAGGTGCTTAATGAAGATATACCTGAATATGTAAAGGAAAAGATAGGAGGATTGTAATCTAACATAGATATGTTGGAATTCTTGTTTCTCACCGGAAAAACTGGTGAGGTTTGATGTATGTACAAACTTTACAAATTGGGAAATGAATAAAATTTTTCATTGACCAAAAAAAAAAAAAAAGGATTGAATTCCACTTGATATTGGACATCTTTTAGCCTACAAAGTTGTCATCACTTTTTTTAATATAATTCATTTTCCATCAAAAAAAATTATGAGACTGTCATCAGACTGGATTTCGGTTGGTTTTGCTTGATCTTAGAATAAAACACTATCTCAGACCCTTACTTCGATTCCGTTCCGTCTTATTTGGTTCGGGTTTAACTCACTTAGTTAAGAAATGAGTACTTTACACAAAGAAAAGTAGATCAGAAAATTAGTTGATGAATATGCAAATTAATGAAGAAATCAATGAAAGAATAATTCAAATCAATTGAAATAATTTAAAAAAGAGAGAGAAAGAGAAGAAATTTTGTACGTCTACAAAAAGAAATTAAGGATGGGTGTTTATTTCAGAGAACTGAGAGAGTGACCATTTCAAATAGTTTAGAATAGAAATTTGTTCAAACAAAACCAGATTCAAACATATTCTAAAATAAAACTGATCCATCAAAATTTAATCTGTTGAGATAGATTAATGGCCAACCCTACTATTGGTTGAATCTTACTGGTCATCTATATCTTGATAGCTCTTTTTATAATTTTCTTAGAAAAAGTTTATTTTATAAATTAAGCTGTCAGCTCATATCTTATTTTTCCATATTACCATTACCATTATTATTATTATTATCATTATCATCATTATTATTACTATTTAATGCTAAACTTTGTTGATATATACTATGGGAGAAAAAGAAGTGGGGGGTAGGGGAGTTAAAAGGGTGTGGGGGCAGAACCCTCGAGTCAATCCAAGCCCACCTCACCATGCTTGAAATAACCCAAACCTGCAATTACTCCTCTCCCTCCCCATTTTCCAATCACAGCCCCTTTTCATGCGTTCCCCCTCTCTCTTTTTCTCTCTTGACTTTCAAAACCCTATTTACCTCCTCCCATTTATTCCTGCAACAACCTCTCCCCACTTTCCCTTAGAATAATCCCACACCTATTATTACTACTTTCGTTATTATTTTATTATTATCATCAATATTTCTCCCCCTATTTAATACCCTCTGGCAAGCTCCCCCCCCCCTCTCTCTCTCTCTCTCTCTCTCTCTCTCTCTCTCTCTCTCTCTCTCTCTCCTCCCTCCATCATTCACTCATTCATTCAATTGTGACCCTTCTCATACAAAAAAACAAGCCAGATAAAGCTGCAGAGATAAAGGATAAAGATAAAAGAGACCCCCCCTCTTTTATCTCTCTCTCTCTCTCACTTGGTACTACTCCCATCACAATCTCTCTACTGTATTTGTTCACTGAAAAAGCCCTCTCCCCTTTTCCCCTCCTTTGCCTTCTCCTTTGTTTTCCTTTCCTGGTCCTAATTAAGACCCAGCAAACGGGGCCTTGCTTGTCCCCTTTGCTTGCCACACCCAGGGAATTCCAGTGTACTTTGAGTAGTGGGCCTTCACCTTGTGGGCTTTAATGCAAAAGTTCAATATAGGTATGGGGGTGTCCCTCTATAAACTACTCCTTGCCTTCAATTTCCTTCATCTCTTTGATAATACATGCACATATGATGTATTTATGATCACACTTCCACAGGGGCTTCTTGTTGCTTGCAGCTAGCTGCTCTGTTCTTTGGGAGGTGGGAACTGTTACTTGCTTAATTTTCTTTTATATATATTATTATAAAAATATATTTATCTTGTACATGGCATTAACTGTAAGGGAGATTAAATACAGGGGTAGGTGAAGACCATTATAAGAAGTGGTAGAAGAACTCAACACAGTACCCTAGCTAGCTAGCCACAATAGTACTAGAAGAGTTGTTATTTGTTGGGTTATAGATCGACAGAAAAGATCTTTCCACAACAAAGAGGAAAAAAAGAGGTCCCCCCTCTGCATATAATTCCCAACTTGTTGGCTACAAAGAATAAGAACATCATCATCATCATCATCATCATCATCATGGCTTCATCCAACAGACACTGGCCTAGCTTGTTCAAATCCAAGCCCTGCTCCACTCACCAATGGCAGCATGACATCCTCTCTACTCAAAAACCATCCTTCAACTCAGGTAATTAAACTGCTGAAGTAACGATCTTATCCGCTGGGCAGCTGGTGCATATATAATTATTGATTGAATTGTATTTCTTGAATTAGGGTTAGGGGAGGAGAGGAGTCCGGAGCCGAAGCCGAGATGGAACCCGAAACCCGAACAGATTTCCGGTATCCTTCGAGTCGATCTTCACTCCGGCATGGTCAACCGCCGCGAGACGAGATCCGAAAGATTTCGGCTCGCTTCAAGAAATACGGCCAGGTGGGCGACGCCAATGTATTCTACTGTTCCAGAACAGAAAATCAAGAAGCAAGGCACAAGCAGCGCCACCTCCAGTCGTACGCCGGCCGACATAACTCACGAGCTTCTCACGCCGCGCCGCCGCCTGCTGCATGCTCCGACCTCAACTGCTCCTTTGAGTGTTGCTGCCACGTCGACATCATCTTCGTCACTGTCCGAAAGGTCGACGGGTCCGATAAAATTTTCTTCGCTTGCCGTCTGTCGGTCTCACGCGGGATTGATGGAGGTGCACCACGCGGCGTGCGTCGCCTACTGCTTCGGTGAATCAGAGTTACTTTCAGAGCGCTCCGACAACGGAATTCTTGGCTGAGCCGACTGTTTACTTGCAGCAGCAGGGGTTTTCGCTGTCTACGTCGACGGGGGACCTGTCTGGGGTTTTGGCTGTGCCGGAACCGACGATTGGGCTCGTGCCGGGGCTGTGGACTGAGCTGATGATGGGCCAAGATGGGTTCAAGACAGGTGGAGTTGAGCCCAGCAAGACCGCCAAGATTCAAAACCCTAACCCTAATTTTAGTTACTCCGCTAATTCTGCTGCTCCTGCTTCTACTTGTGTGACTACAGAAACTGTTGCTGGTCCTGTCAATGAGATCCAAGGTATGTTGCTTCTTTTTAATCTTCTAAATTTGTGTAGACAAGCGTTTCGTTTCAAATAGGGCCTTCATCAAAATTTATAGTGGTTTTTATGAAACAAATTAAGATGGAAATGACCCAAATCAAATTGAGGGTCTCCACATGGTCCATAAGTTGAGTGATATTGAACGATTTCGCAATATTCGAGATTGAAATGTTTGATTGATCGAAGGGATTGGTGGGCAACTGAGGACTGTCTTGCCTTTGTATTGTCAAGTCATGGAGATTTCTCGAGAGAGCCTCCCTTGTTGAAAAAACTTTTTTTGTTTTTCCTTCCCTTCATTAGTTTCACATTAAAGCAAACGGCGCTGTTACCAAGATTGGACGTGTGCATGGCATTAAACAACTAATAACACTTTCTTCCTCGTAGGGAGCATTCGCCTCTATGAATTCATTAAGAATCTATTAATTATAAGTTTGACTATCTAAAGAATGAGTTTTGTTGGATATTAATGTATTATTAGGGATTGGAGGAGGAGTTGGTGGTGGAGCGAGATTGACGGTGTTTATCAATGGGGTAGGGTTTGAGGCGGTGACTGGTATTTTTAACGTCAGGGAAGTGTTTGGGGAGGAGGCGGTGCTCATCCATGCTTCGGGCAACCCGGTGCTCACTGATGAGTGGGGACGCATTCTCCATCCTCTTCAACATGGAGCTTCCTACTTCTTGGTCAACATCTGATCTCTTAATTTGGTAAATGCTCAATTTAGCTCTTTAATTTTATTTTATCGAGATTGTTTGGAGATGAGTCTAACCAAATGTTTTCTTATATATGCTTCATAATTTTGTGTTGAAAACAAGTTTATCATGTTCTCCCCCTATAACCATTTGTCTAATTAATTAGGATATCACACTTTTGTTAGTGTTGATCGCTAAGAAATAGAAATATACAGCAGCGATTTGTAAATCTTAATTATATTTGGAATAAGAAAAATTTTGTAAGAGAAACATAATTATATGGTATGCTAATTCGGGTTAGGATTCATAACTGACTGGTGAAACTCTTGTGAGCCTAACCCCTAAATTCCAACTTGTTTTATGTATAAGGCTTCGTATTTAGGCATTGTTTGATTATTTAAGACATGGAATAATATTTTGATTAGCTGATAGGATTTGGGATAATTTATTTTTTCTTCCTTTTTTATCCCATTGAAATGATTTTCTTTTGAAGATAAATTGTCTTCAATTTATGGTCTTCTTATAACAGGGTTGTATTCTCAAAAAAAATGTTAGCAGTAGTCCTTCTTAAACCCTTTTTCCCATTAAGCTTATACTATTTGTTTGCTGATGTTGTTATTTAATTTCTTGCAGGTTTAATTAAGAGAATATATGGAGAAAGAGAAGTTGAAAATGAAGATGCTTTGTCCATGCTTCTCCTTTTAGAAGGCCTAATTAAGCATTTACCTTTTTTAATTAAATAATTATATAGTTTATAACTATAATTTTCTAATGCACTATTTAGCCAGGTAGTGCCCTATGGGGCTTGCTCCATCAAGTTTATACATATATGAGGCTCTTCTTGCAAACTTATACATATCTTGTAGCCCGGAGCTTTATTATGTAATTGTTGGATTTCATGCCTAATTTCATGCTAATACATTGTCTCGTGCTTCTACTTCTCTCCGCTTCTGTTTTGATATAGTAAAAAGCTTTATGTTACGTAAAGCACAAAAGAGTAGATAATGATATCATTAATGCATAAGCAGAATTTTAATCAAAGGATTCTCTGTTGTCTGACGACGAAGAACTCGATCCCTGTGTTGTGGATTATTGGTTAAATAATCCTACCATAGATGTAGATCTATCGTCGTACGCTGGTCCCATAACACGAAATTGATCTGATGAATTACTACACATTTACATCAATACCATGCTGTGTGTGTGTTTGATAATCCCTTAAAGCTGGCCTATCAGGAGCAATCCTGACTTGCTTAGTTTTTGGTTTTTATTCTATTTGGGGAAAAACCCAGATTCTATCACGAATTTTTAGACTAAAATTTTGACAACTTAACTAGTTCTAGTTTGAATCACCTTTCCCCAATCCTTTTTAGATCTTTATAGAATAGAGTTACTCCTGGTCCAACTTTGCCAGACACACCCCAAACCTGATGACATATGTTTATTTGACCATTATCATTTACCCAGGTTTTAATTTGGATCTTTGTTTATTTCCTATTTTTTTTTAGTAGCATTTTAGCATGAATCAATGCCTATCAGTATCTAGTACATGAAAGTGGGCGGGCAGTTTGAATGATGGGAACATCTTTGATTGATGATGATAGAAAGACTGAAAGAAACTAGCTATAAGCACAATTGAATATGGGTCTTATCATAAACAGTTGTAAATGTAAACCACTACAGACAGACCAAAGGAAGTTTGACCCTAATTTGATCGAAGGGAGTAGGTTTGTCTTGCACACGGGCTAGGGTTTGTAGGATTGAGAATTTACACGTCTAGACCTGAGCCAATAGTACTCTATAGGTTCATTGACTGAACCCTAACCCTGCCTAGCTCTTTTCTTTTCCTCAATTTAGAGTTGACAAAGAGAAAGATTTCCTATTAATTGGTCTGCAATTTTATAAAGGTTTAGATTTAGATCAAGTGGAGCCTAAATGATGAGTTATGGGTCTTGAATTACGTCATTATTGGTTGTTCCTGATGTATTATTCTCTACAAAGACTTCCCCCTTTTTACCCTCAGTTTTAGCAAATGTCACTGTCAGCTGTTGAAATTTACCTGAGGTATTTTACACCTAAGGAAACCTCAACAACCTCTGTGAAAAAGTTAAGAGTCGATGAAGAGAGTTATACTTACATACATGCTGCATGCATAGTCCGGGACTGGGAGGGTAAATGTTCATGGTGATGAGCATTACAATAATTCTTTAACGACGTAGTTGGAATAATGATCAATTTGTCAATTGCAATTTGCAACAACAGCATAATTAAGCTAGCATCAAACTACATCTTCTGTTGCTGCACCAGAGTGCATAATTGCGTTCATAATGGTCATATTTATTATGGTTGTTTTTATAAAGCGGACATACCTTGAATAATTAGAAAAGAAAGAAAAACATTTGTCTTCGCTCACCTGTTGTACATTTCCTTGTGAAAGATTTTGGTGTCAAATCTCTCTATCTAAAGTGAGCAAGGATATGTAATTAAAGACACTTATCAACTTCACGTTATCCGAGTAATAGTAAATGTAGGAGCAATTAGTGAAACATTGGCAGAAACTACGGAAGTTAAAACTTTACTTTCTTAGCTGTTGTGAGTTCATTGTTTAACAAATTAATAGGCTAATTGAAGTTTCTATAACTAGTATGTAAGACGTGCTTTGTACGTGATGCATATTAAGTAATGATATGAGACTATAATATTTAAAGGTCATCTAACATTGCACTCGTAGGGTAAAACTTTTGGCGGGCTGTCTGAATGGTGCATTTTAGTGGGCGATTTTTTCTCCGCTAACGTGCACCCCGTCTAGTTTTGAATGGCGAAGAAGAAGAAGAATGGAAGCAAGAGGATCCTAAACAATGAGCTGAGAGACTCAATGTTCGTCTTCTCCTCCTCATCTGGATCCGGAGATCCCTCCTCATCTGGATCTGGAGCTGTTTTGGATGAAACAGTGAATACTTTGATTCCTCAAATGGAAAGCACAGGGCCTAAAGGAGCTAGGAAAAAGTTGTTGATGGCGGAGATTCTTGCAAGATCAGAGCCATTAACAGATCTGCAACCTCGATCCAACTCTGGTCTTCGTGTTACTCGTAAGCTAAGTAATTTCCCCCACTCTATTCTTTGGGCTGATGATGTAGAGGATGATGTTGAATTTGATTTGGATGTGAATACTAATCTGAATGCTGATAATACTCATCTGAATGATGCTCATTTGGATGAGAATCCTCCTATTGATGGTCAGAATTTGGTTATAAGTGATGAATCTGAGATTCTAAATCTAGATAAAGAAAAATCAAATGAGGAAATCCATGATGAAAATATGAATCTAGAAAAGAATGAGCAAGATGTAAGAAAATCTTTTGCTAGCTTATTTGCTAATAATAGAAAAAATGGGAATGGTCTATCATTAGATTTTATTCCTTCTTCCCATTCAAATACTGCTGCATTTAATGAAGAAGAATGAGGAGAAGATGCAGATCTATGGAAATTTGCCTTGGTTGGGCATGTGATTGGATTGAATGTTAAGTTCAGATGAATTAAGTCTTATGTTTCTAAGGTTTAGGGTAGAATCTCTATCCTGAAAGTCTCATTAATTAAACATAGGGTTTTTCTATTTGAATTTTAATCTGAGAAGCAAATGATGGAAGTTCTTGAGGCTGGTCCATGGTTCATTAGATCTAGGCCTTTTGTCCTTAAGCCATGGACTATAGACACTGATATTGATAGGATTCAAGACCAAATCTATCCTATTTGGGTTCAATTTCCTAACCTGAGACTGAATTTGTGGAGTCCTATTGGTATTAACAAGGTTACAAGTTTAATTGGGTGTCCAATCACTACTGATAAACTTACAGCTACAAGACAAAGACTGAGTTGTGCCAGAGTATTGTTGGAGGTGAAACTGCCATTAAATGAACCATTACCTGATTATGTGGTTATTAAAGGTCCAGATGGCAAGTGTTATAATCAAAAAGTCTTATATGAATTTAAACCAAGGCGGTGTTCTTGGTGCAAAATTGTGGGACATGAGACTCAGAATTGTAAAAAACATGCTATAAAGAAGATGTGGATTCCTGTCAATAAGAAACCTATCAATGATGCACATGCTACTGCTGCTGGAACAAAAGGAGCTGCTGATAAAGAAATTATTTTAGAGCATACTGATCATATTCATGTGGAAAATGGTGATAATGGATCCAATGCTGGACTATCTGGGCTTGGAGTTCAGATTGATCAGGTTCCTGAAAAACATGCACAGGCAGGTGTGCATGCACAACAAGGAGAGAATGAAAAGGAATTCTACAATAGAAAGCCTGGGGGTCTAGAGGTGCATAATTCTGGCAAGAGTGTACATCAATTCTCTCCTACCATTAACTCCTCTGGATTTTCTAGTGTTATGAGAGACCATGCTGCCAGAAGAGCCAAATCTATAAATGTGTCTGGGCCTCATATACAAACATCACACTATACTATTCTGGATTAGCAGATAGACTTGGACCCCTGTTGTATTGATAGGGGTGGAACATCTCAATAAAATGGGTCTTGCTATATGGAATATTAGAGGATTCAATAAGTCCTCTAAACATGTGACCGTTAAGCAGTTTATTCAAGAATACAAGCTTTCTTTGTTAGCTCTTCTGGAAACCAAAGTGGCTGAAGGTAAAATGCAAATGATTGACAACAAAATTGCATGAAATTTGAAATGGACCTCAAATGTTCAGACAACAAATAATGCTAGAATATGAATTCTATGGGATGAAGGTATTCTCTCAGTTCAGAGTATTGAAATATCTGAGAAATATATGACTTGTGCTGTGAAATCTAAAGATGCGAGATTATTATGTCTTGTCACAATAGTTTATACTCTTAATCAAATGGAGGGGAGGAAAATTCTTTGGGAAAAACTTCTTGTTAGACCCTAGAAGGGGGGGGGGGGGGGGTATGAATTCTATGGGATGTAGGGTCTTATGCTAATCTAATCCGATTTTATGCCAATTAAAACTAATTAATAAATTATTCTTATAAGATAGATATACAATATGTTACAAGCAAGAAAAAGCAATATGAACAAAGGGCAACATCCTAGCAATGAGATATATAGTGAAATATATGCGAGGATATATAAACTAACACAAGGGTGAAACAATATAGAGGATAATATAAATAAGCAAAAGAACAATGGTGATATAAGATATGAACACAAGAATTAAGTACGCCAAAGACAATGCAAACACAAGCAAATAATCACGGAGTTCGGACCTTCCGTCCTACGTCTCCGCTCCCCACTCCCGGGGAAAAATCCACTATCATATCTGGGTTTTCTACGCTCACCCGAATAACGTTTACACCTCATAATTTCATTCTCGGAGTTCGGTCCCCACGACCTACGTCTTCGCTCCTCACCTCGAGGATATCTTCACTTCACACTCGGTTTTCTAGCTAACCGAAAACTTTACAATCTCATAATATAACAAATGATTTGTTCTTTACATTAGATAAGAACTCAATGTAAGCTCACTCTCTAGGTTACACAATCGCACAACCTAATTATACTATGAATGTAAATACAATAAGCTCAATGGTTGTGTGTGTGTAAGCAAAGAGAAATAAATCAAAACTAAACTTAATATAATTCTAGCTTAATAACAATGATAATTATATATATATATATATAAAAGAGCTAGAAATAGAGTTTAAAAAACTTCTCAATAGATCAAGAGATTGAGGGAGGAATATATATATAAAAGAGCTAGAAATAGAGTTTAAAAAACTTCTCAATAGATCAAGAGATTGAGGGAGGATGGTTGGATGCTCAAACACCAATAGATAATCTCCTCATGCTCTTGTGAAATTGATTTCCCAAAATCAAACTCTCAAATGCTTAAAAGCTTTTTAAACACACTTAAACAAAAACTTAAACCCTTGATGAAACTCT